ATTCATAGAACTACTCTAGAATAAAGCGATAACAACGGAAAAAGCGCAAAAAACGATGAACAAAAAGAAATAGAAAGGGTCAAAAAAGAGCTGAGAAGGGGGGTTGGACGAGTTTCACATTGGAAAAACGGCGGTTAAGGGAGTGTTCGGGCGAGTGCAGGAAGGCGGCGCAATGTCTGCAATAGCAGACAACACACCCAAGCAGACAACTTCGCTCCAATGCGAAAGTGATGAACGGCAATTAGATTTCGTAGTCAGCCTAGCGAGGGGCGGAGGCCTCCCCTCCCCCACTGTTCCTGCCCTTATTGTGCCCTGTCCAGACCGTTTTCCGACCTCGTTCCTGCACAAATGGTATCAGAGGGGGCGTCGAATTCAAACCATAAGCAGATCTCCGAAACCATTTTTTCGTGAACAGTGCCTTTAAGGTGATGATAGCACGGACTAGTGAAAATCATTGTTCCAATGACACTCAGTGGTATTGTAACACGGTTACGTGACTACTTGAACTCTCTCTACGTCCCTGACGGCAAGAAGCTATAGCGCAGAGAAAAACACCCCGGGTGAAGTTCACGGCGGTGGTGGTGGGGGTCCCATTGGACAGGCGAGCACAACACTCAAAGAACACATCAAACGGGAGTGCGCCAGACGAGGGCAGAAAAATGACGCATCCGGCAAATTTAAAGGAACCGAGTTCAATTAGTCCGTAGGCCAGTGGCCTCGAAACAGGAGCTTTTGCAAAAGTGGTCGAACAATTTGATCGCCTTTACTTTATTAAATTGCAAATAGAAATAAAAAGCAAAATATTCGCTGGTCGAGTTGGTGCCGAAGGGAAGTTTTGTTCAGATAACCCTCCGACTCCGGACCACACATGTCGTTTCCTTAGCCGCCTTTTATGTAGCCGCCCATTTCTTGGCGGCGTATTCACGTCGAGTTTGAAAAGTCTGCAAAGCGTGTAGAAAACTGCGTTGCTAAGCGATCAGGTCTTACTGATGAGGGCGTTTTTGGGGCTATGGAGCCGTGAGAATGTTAGGGATCTGAATGAAACAGGAGAGAGGAACGGTACTAGACCCTTGGCAACGGGTTTGACAACTTCCATGAGCAAGTATTCGTTTCACACCAACAATCCTGCCATTTAAAATGCTGTCCCACCTCTGGGATGAGCCGTGCTCTCATCAGCTCTCCTCAACTTAACAATTAAATCTCTGGTGCTGAGCTGTTCCAGCTCCTTACGTTCTGGGCTATTATTAGTTGCTTATTTACCTTTTGTAAAATTAATTCCACTCAAATTGATTCTATTGCTTCAAGGAGGTATAGCGGCAAGTATGGGTGACTAGGTGTGGTTGAGGCTGATGTGGATAATAACAAGAGACTTGGAGATGATACGAGACGAACCCTATGGATCGTTTAGGTGTAGTAGAAACTAAAAAACGTCACGTTATGAATAAATAAACAACGTTATAAACAAGTAAATAAATGTGATTTCACGGTGTAGGGGGTACGAGGGCTGCCTTTTATATTTTGAGATTTGGCAACACTAGTGTAGCAATCTAACAACTGACGTCACTGTCGTAAAGTTTGACTATTTTGAGGTTACGTTGCGAAATTTGAGCGCGATTTGTGTTGTTTACACTAAGTTATAAGATTTTGTTTAGGCCAAGTTATGGGGTTGAATCGTGAGCATTTTCGCGCGATGATTTTCTACAACTTTCGACGTGGACTAACTCAACAGCAATGCATTGGTGAACTTAATTCAATTTTTGGGGATGAAGCTCCATCCAGGACCAGTGTTTACCGATGGTACAGTGAGTTCACCCGAGGTCGTAGTTCACTCGAAGAAAAATTTCGTGGTGGTCGTCCAAAATCAGTTGTTGTTCCAGAAACCGTTGACACTGTGCACAAATGAATATTGCAAGATCGTCATGTGGTCTATCGTGAGATTGGGACAACCTTAGGCATCGGTGGGGCCAGCATACATTCAATATTGCATGAACATTTGACTGTAAAATAATTGTTTTTGAAAAATTTGTCAATCCCCCAAAAAAGGGACTCGTGTCGATTGGTTGAAAGAAATGCTCAAAAATACGATCGCGGTGCTTCGAAACACGTCTATGACATCGAGACAGGTGATGGATCGTGGATTTATGCGTATGAGCCCGAAAGGAAACAGCAGTCGACCGTATGGGTATTCGAAGATGAGCCAAATCCAACAAAGGCTGTCCGTGCCCCAAGCACTTCCGAGCAATTGATCTCCTGTTTCTTTGAGAAAACTGGACATGCCGCAACCGTACCCTTAGGACAAGCAGAACAGTCAATTCTGAGTGGAATACCACCATTTGTTTGCCAGTTGACTTTCAAAAAATCAAGAAAAACAACTGCTGAAGACGGGTCACTATTCACCACGACAGTGCGAGCTCCCACCCATCGGCTCAAACAACTGCATTTTTGAGCACTCAAAACAACGATTTGACAGGTCATCAGACATGTAGTCCCCGAGTGACTTCTTCTCATCCCGTGCGTAAAAAATAAAATGAGAGGTCAATGTTTTTCGACACTTGAAGAAGCCGTTAATGCGTTCAGAATCCATGTTTTAGAGTTACCTACATCAGAGTGGCAAAAGTGCTTCGAAAATTGGTTCGAGCCCATGCAAAAGTGTATAGATCTTAATGTGGAGAATTTTGAAAGGCAATAAAGCGATTTTCAATAGATGATATTTGTTTCTGTTCCCAAATCTCAAAATATAAAAGGCAGCCTACGTAAGAGCACGGACCCATTCTTGAGAAGTACAGGTTCGGATTCGCGGTGTTACACCATAAATTTTGAGCCTGACTCTACGAATGAAAGCGCATTCAAGCTGGGCCATACCTGCAGAATAGGTCCACGAGCTTTGCAATAAGTGTAAATTACGGAAAACAGCGGATTCCCCACATCAGCCATTTAAGTTGAGCATTTTAGACCTTTCCAATTACGATTTCCTCAGCAAATTGTAACGCTTCCGTCTTGAAAGTCCATCATATATGTACAGTGTTCATGTCAGAGGAACCCTTGAGGCTTCGTAAACTTGAAGATTAGCAGTTTGCATTCCCCACGTAGTCTAACAACAAAAAAGCCATTTTTCTTCCATAGTACCGAAAATCTACAGCTACACTTCATTCCCATTGAATTGCCTTGGATTAAAATGAAGGGCAAATCAACTGGCACTTGGGAGCTGATGGCCACACCGAGGTCTATTTCGGTTCATGCCATGAAACATCAACAAAATGAAAATTAATGGCACTTCGAAATTTGCCGCTGCCAGTAAGCAGTCTAGCAACGGAATTTTGATCATGCCTAACGAGTTTATCAGATCCAATTATCAGGTACCGAGGCCTACCTCGGTTTATGACCATAAAAATCAACAAAATGACAATCAAACGAACTTCGAAATTCGCTTTTACCATATGCGTCTAGCGAGGCAATTTTGATAGTGCTTTACGAGTTTATCAGACTCAACGCGAATACGTCTTTAGGCATTGGGCGTCCATATGGGCTGCTGATAAGAGGTGCCTTCTGTGTGGTCCGGAGTTGGAGGGTTATCCATTCTATCCCTTCGGGGAATTTCCCTCCGACACAAACTCGATCACCAATCATTTTGCAACTTTTAGGCGTCTAATTACAGTATGCTGGATCCCGATCTTTCTGACGAATTTCTCCAGGGTTTTCGTACCGTAGGGACAACACCTGGTGCTTACGCAGCTCCCGCAATGGGTGAGGGGGCAGTGCTCAGGACATGCGTCTCGGCTGGACACCTCTACCTCCGTATGCCCGTATTTCCTGCTGCCCAACAAAGGGAAATCTGAGAAGTGGAGGCCGCAGGGACAACTTCCTGACGCTGCCTATTCCTAATACCCAGTAAAAAATTGGACAAGAAAATCGTCCCTTAGCTCTATAGTTTCTAACGTCAAAAAACGGCACGAACTGGTAACAGCCCAAAATGAATAATTCACAAATTGAGCAATCGCAACAGAGGAGAAGTGCCTTGTTAATGCACGGAAATCATCCTCGAAAAGTAGGAACAGGATATCCATAGCCCTTCGATTAGGTAGAATTCTTTAGTAATCTTCCGTACAGTTTCACAAGCGCAAAAGCTTTATTACGAGGTCATAAAGGTTAAGAAATACATTACAGGAAAAATACAAATAGGTAGTTGCTCACAATGCGAAGTTATTGGACAATTTGACCACTTTTCGACAGCTCCTCCCTAAAATGGTACAACAAATATGGAAAGATAAAAAATGATCACGCTGAAATGAAAATTTATTGCCCATCATGTAAAACCTACTTGAGTTGCTTGGAAAAATCACTTTCATGAGTTTCATCATCCCAATTATCTTCCCATACATTTACTTCATCATCATCTCCATCTTCAGCTTTCTCTGCCCATTCCTTGTAAATCCAAATCAATTTCAACAGACCGAGACTCAAGCAAAGCACGCAAACCTACTTGGACTGGAAATTCTTCAAACTCCTCATCATCTATCGCCTTCTTCACCTAAATGGAGAATGTTTTTTAAAAGAAACTGGAGGAGCATGAGTAAACCTTCCACTTACCTTTTCCTTCGCAGTTTCCTTCTTAGTGATAGTGATACCCGAAGACATAATCTACGAATACTAATTAATGTTAATCTCAGCTTAACCATAATCTAATACAAATAAGCAGCCAAAAACAATCGGATCCGATAAGTAAATTGGTTCACACCAGAAACACCAAACGATTGGCAAAGCCGGTATGCTTTTATTAACGAAAACAATTTTCAAAGTGCTTTCACTTTGAAATTCAACAAATTTACAATGGGCAACCTATACAAATAGTTGATTTACTATGCTATCCTAACATACAATAAAAATCTTTACAAAATTCTTATATAATCATTGGACGGTGAGGAACAAGTGCACAGAAAACTTGAAACAACTCGTCAATGAATCCGCCTATTACACCAAATCAAGCTTCATCGCCTGTCTTGCCCTCCGCTTCGTCCTTTTTGCGCTGCTCATCCAGCTCTTGAGCACGCAAAGGAAGATTCCTCGATTGGGATGGCCGGTCGGTTCCACTTTCATCGGCTTAATAATAGAAATAAAAAACACAAAAACGTAGATGAAAAATGCAGAATGCAGATTCATGCTTACCGTCTCTACCCCCAGGCCGACTATTCTACAGCTCAATACTCTACCATCCTCACAATGTTCACAAGATTTCTACTGTCAAAAGAGCCATGAAACATTATACGAAAGTAACCATTGAAAAACTTAGTTATGAGAAAAAAAAACTGCGTCTTCGTCGCTAAATGAGAGGCAGAACAAAACAATTTAGTCTTTCCTGTTCAGATAAAAGATGCGAGTTTCCTATTTTTAGGGTACATTCCAAAATAGTTATCACCCCGCGACAGACTAGCGGCAAATCTGGCTCAAGCCATAGTCTTAACACTGTGTCCCCTCCGTGTTCAAACGAGATCCTTGTGATGACCTTTCAGGTAATTATGGATAAAAGATCGAATTGGATTCAAAACGTATAAGTATTGGCTGATTATAATTAGGAACGAGTTATACTTATCGACAATAACTCGAAAATCCCGAAAAGGGGTACCATTGTCTTTGGTGAAACACCCCGAATATTGTCCAACTGATATGGGAGATGAGCACGGATAAACGTGACCCTTCCTGGCTACCTACCCTCTCTGCCGCATAAAAGATCTTTTGGAACACTTCGCGCTTATCATAAGTCAGAGCAAAAGTGGAAGCCATGAAAGTATAAATGATTGAACTTAAAAGAGTCCACAACGTGTTCGAGCGCTTACAGCTTTATGTATACTAATCGGAAGATTATTGGCCTGTAGGAAAATCTTTTTTTTTTGAGCCCCAACAATAAATGGACCGTCATAAAGGAAATGAATAAAAAGGAATTAATGAGATAAATACACTTACTAATAGCATGGGTAATTAGTGGTCCTTGCTTTGGTTTCACCCATTTCGGATAGACCTTGTCATGAAGGCGCCACATCCCATCCAAAACTGCGATGTGGTTTTCGAAAACTACATATTCCACTACTTCCCGTGGTTCTGTTTCTGAACCAAGCAGCAAATGCCCGAAACGATCGTATACAGCAAGTTTCTGTAAAAAAAACTTGAACACCACAACAAACCAGTCACCTATCCTAAAATCGAAAGGGGTAAATGCAAGTGGAGGCATTGCTAAGGGACCACGAAAGTGACCAGCGTCTAATAACCAATTCAGATGCAAAAAAACAATTAATCGTTTTGGTACATGACCAAGAAAAAATACCTGTTTGGTATGCATTCGCACGGTTACTTGAGCAATGTCATTGCCTGATTTGTAAGGGTTGTCTCCACATCGAACAGACACTACCTAAAAAAAACAAAGATGTACAATCTACCGATTGAGCTTGACTCAAAGAAAAGGATGACGAACGGGTTTAGCTTGAAATGTTCTGATTAAGGAAGCTGCAACCCTGATTCAAAGAAATTGTTTCAGGTTCTCGCTTTTCGCTACCTAATACGGAAGCTAGCAAGACATACTGTCAACAAGAAAGGAAATCTTACAGTGCTAGGTGTTAGTCGCTCCACAAGTTCCCATTGAATAGAACCGTTTTCGACATCCGGCCACATTTTCTATAAAAAAAGCGAAAATAAAGGCATTAAAAAGTCCGAGTTTCTCGTTAGGCTCACTTTGAAAGCATGCTCAGTTATAGACTTGTGTAAAGCAGTTTTGTCCCTTTTCATTAAAGCACGATGCGCTTCCTCATAAATGAGATCGGCAGTTGGGCCAAAAGTCTGCAACCGTATCGAATACGAACAATTGAAAAAAAGGGAAAACAAGATTAACAGCAGGGCAGCCGAATACAAAAAAAANAAAAAAAAGTGTCCTGACCTTAGGATCGAACTTTTCGAAGCCTTCCTTTTTTCGTATTCTACTGACGCCGTTTCGCCAATTATGATATCTATGCAGGGCTCGTTGCTAAAAGCATTGAAGTCTTCCGAAATCCACAGAAGTGATGGGAAAGAGGCAATTCGATGAAATAACCAAAAAGAAATTAACAAAAACAGAAAAAAAGATCAACAAATAGTACCTTCAGTTCTTCGCCTTTCAACTTCAAGCCATCGACGCTCCCAGTTATGTATGGTAACGTCTCCTCGGGAGTGACGAACGGATCAATTACAGCATCTGATTACGAGAGATCAGGTGAAATTGTTGATGATGTATTTTTTTATAGAAAGACTAACTAACAGAAGGACTGCAATGTGGTTTGCGATTCTTGCCATGCACGTGGTTGGACTTCTTTATACGGATTAATTCCTTTTCGCAAAAGTTCCACTCGTAATTGCGATGGTGTCAAATTTTCACGACGACGCTGTTCTTCATCATCCGGTAATTCGATGATAACTGTTTTCCGTGCACGCATCTACGACAACACATATTTTGAAAGTCAAATTTCTCCAGAAGAGACTAAATTAACTTCAGGAACAGCTACTCAACTTAATGGGTAGATGTAAAATATATAGGAGAACTGAATAGGAACTACCGAGAAAATGCTACATATTTCCCATCGTACCTTTCTAAACATTTTCTCGTTGATGTGAGTGTTTCGATTGGCTCGAGCCTTGTTAGATCGTTGAATTCCTAGAAATCTAGCTAAATCCTTTCGCTCCATATGATGATGAACTGCCGCCCATTGAACTACAAACGGGGTGCTGCCAATCAAGCCAGGCAGTCCAGAATATGCACTCGGCCATATTCGGCTAATCATCCCTGAAAATTATTAGTGAAAAACAATTCTGAGAGTATAGACGCCCGAAGAACGACGCACATCCAGCAGAACCGCGCAAAACGGAAGAGAAACAATCTAGTTAACGTATGATAATTCGAACCAGAGAAATCGAAATTAATAAGAGATAGTTGAATGCGTAGTGGAGAGTCAGCGTAATGGAGATTTAGTAGGTCTCCATTGTGATCTTTGAGCAAAGATTTAATCTTTGGACTTCACTTAGTCTTTACTTCAAGAGGTAGCTTTATATAAGGTTACCTGTCCTATGGCTCAACTGCTACCTTCTCGTCTTCCACACAAAAAAAAAAAANAGTTTTTCCCTGCACTAAATCAGTTCACGTGTGGATGGTGAGTTCCGACGGACGCACAGAACTCATAAAAGCAGAGGAAACCCTTCCTGTTCTTGAACCTTTACATTGGCCCAAGTAGTCAAATCATAATAGGGTTGTGATAGGCGAATGATTTCTACGACAACAGCGAACCTGCCCAAAAATATGAGAAACTTCCGATCTACAACTGCCAAATACCACTTCTGCTATTGCTCCTACTTTTGTTGCAACATAAGTGAGGAAAAAGAAGAATAAACAAAACAAAAAAACTGTCACAAACAATAAAGAAACTCAAGAATTCTCAAAGATTTGATCAAGCAATGACATTAAAGGATGAGTAGAATGGCCACATCGATTAGAGCGCGTTATTGGCGAATTAGTAAGTTGAGATAAGTAACGCCGTTTATAGCTTAAGAAAAAGTCTCCGCAGTAACTTGAGTTTGAATTGCCTAGACTTCTCCACTAGTTAGAATGTTCCGAGTCAACTTCGAGTGGGTAAGTGGCTTCTTAACCGTAGTTATTTCGTTCTAGATCCTCTTAGACATCTAGATGAATTGTAAAGAACGGTTTGTGCTGATTCACACTGAAATCTGGGGAACGTAGAGCAGAGACTATTCGGTACATGTGAGGATATCCTATCTTTTACAAGCCATCATCCATTGAAGAGGTCTAGCGGTGCAGTGCAACAGTAGTCCTCCTCAATGGATGAGGTCGGAAGTTATGGTTAGAGACCTCATGCTCTTAGGGGGAGCAGCAATCAGTTAGACGAATGGCCCATGCTTGCAGGGTTCCATCATAATTTCGGAAACATTGCTTCCTGACAAGATGACACAAGCATCTGGGAGGGGGAGGGGTAGCTCACTTGGTGAGGGGACAAATTTTCCAGGCTCCTAGAGAAAATGTGTTCGTAAACATGCACTACGAGCTGCTCTTTTTCGGATACGCATCCTCTCTGTCTGCAAGCCACTAATCACCTCTTGAATCAACTGCTCCTGACCCCTGTTTTAGGACAACAATCAAAAACTGGCATAAAAATGTCTGCTATCCTTCGCTCATCGCTAGCTGACATTACCCAAATATGAGGTGGTGTAGTGGCAAGTGGCGCACTACACACACGCATGATCACGGGTTCGAATCCTAGATAATATCCGCCAAGCCAACCAAGCCTTCCATCCTTCCGGGGTGAGTTAATTCATACCAGATTCGTCTGGGAGGATAGAAGCACTGAATCGTACATCGGCTGGCCATGGCAAGGCATTGTATAGGCCACGTACGCATTCAATATACCACTAAGATTCTGAATCGAAGTCGAACGCGTGGGCGCATCACTCAGACGGGATTGATAAATGCCCTCAGACTTAAGACATCAGGGAGAAGCACTAGGAGCACTGGGACACTAGAAACGGTGATACCACCTTCCCACAATACTAAGTTTCGCTTTCTGTTCTTTCTGTTCCCCCTTGGAAAATGTGTAGGAAAAGGTCCTCCAAGGCATCGAGCCACTACAAGAACACCCATTTATTGTTCGTATTGCCTTCGTCGAATGCCCTACGATTGCGACTGTAGAACTTATTCCCGTAGGAGCAAAGCTGGTCGACCCGTTGGGCAACCGTAAAAGCCGGAAAACGAGCTGTGACTTTAGTACGCATACTAGAAGCACAGGAAAACGCCTATCTTACGAAACAGCGAGTATGAACTTTTCCCAATGCTCTGATTTTTCGTTGTCTAGAGCTTTGAAGGAGGAAAAAAGAACGGATACCAGATAAGAACGGATATCTAAAACAATCCAAGTGGAATAGTGGAGAAAATTTATTTCTCAAAGCGTATCACACACACACAAAAGACAAAAAATAGGTAAGTATGTACATACAATGACTTGTAAACGAATTGGGCTCAAATTCTACACTATGTTCGACATGTTTTACAAACGAGTTCACAAAAATGTGTCACAAACTATTTTATATGCATTCTAAACCAACACGAATCGCGTTATACCCTTTACTGATGACGAATCCACTGAAAGCTTGATCATTTAGTTGTACTTTTGTTTTTTAGAGTTCTAGAAGAACATTCGTCGTGAAAAATTGTTCCAGTGATATGTGGACGAGATGGGCTCTTGCGAGATCACTGGCTGAAAAACATCATATTACACAGATGCTAACCTACAGCAATATTAGAAAATCAGCGCAACAGAATTCCAAACCCAAACTGTGCACCTTCAATGCACCCACAGAGTAGATGCCGGCAGATTCGGGGATTTCAAGTAAGAAGAAGAAAAGCATATACTTAAAGTTCACTTCGTTACCGTCTTCTGGATTAATGGTGAGTTTATGCAAAGGAGAAAGAGGAGTGACCTTATTGGAGAAGTCAGATTTTGACGTTCCGTGAACGTGAGATACAGTTGTAAGATACAGTAACCCCCCCCCCCCCCCCTACGCCTCACCAGTAGCTCTACGAAAAGTCGAAAGCAGCGAGGACGAGGATGGAACATTCAGCACACCTCCAAGAATGTAAGCACGCTACATCTCTAAGGTCAGCCGCTGACCTGTTATCCACTATGGGTACACTAACTACCAATGAGCTCACAAAAAGTCATGAGTGAAAACTAACCATATACTTTCGTGATTCGGCTAAAATTGATTCCGCCATTGGTTCAGGCATATTTTTCAACGCCTCCTGCATCTTGTCAACTCCATTCTCGCCAAATTTTTTGTACATATGTGCGATGAATTTTGTGCTAAAACATAACCATATAATATACACAATACGGTAAAAACTTCCGAAAAGGACAGCCTGTCGGATACTAAGCAGGCTGTGCGTTATGTGTTAGCCAATCAAGTTTTTTACCGCACTGCAATACTGAGGTGTGGACAACTACTGCATCGGGAATATTCGGTCTTCATTCTTTATATTATTTTTGGTTATTCATTTGTCCAACGGAAATCACTAAATTTGGTCTTGTCTAGCAAAAAACAAAGCACACTTATTTTAGAAGCTTTCGCAAGGCTGGTCTTGTTTCCTGTCTACGATTACCCCAACATGGGTCTTCTACGAAAAAAAAAAAACAAAAAATAAGACACAATTCATATTCTAACTAATTAGTGACTTGGTATACCTGAAATGCGCGTTCAAAGCCTCTGCAATGGCCTCGGCGAGCGTCTCTGGCTTCAATTTACATTCATCCAGTGGTAGCTCATTCTCCATATAATGGTATAACTCCCGCTGCAGTGAAGGGATTTGAAAACGATGAGAGCAGTGAATCAAAGCAGGAAGATTAGTGTCTGAAAAACACCATCGAGCGCCATATTAAGCATGTTAATAGACTGAATAAGGTCCAAAAATGAAGAAAGGAAGGTAGTTTCACATTGTACATATAATGTTTGCCTTTGACTGCAAAAATTGGAGCCACGAGCAGTAAATATTCCTAACGGCCTCTCACTTGCCTCCAATACGTTTCTGACGCAAGTAGTTTCCATCGGGACATATGTATTCTAACATTGCGACAACGTCAGCAAAGTCTACGTCTTTGATATATACACGGCCGGTTCGAGCTTCAGTGAAGTTGGTATCGAAGCATATCCTAAATATTTGCATTGCTCAATAACCTATTCATGGCAAATGATAATGAAATGATTTAGTTTCCGTTAGGCTTCACTGTTTGACCACTGCAGCACCTAACAACTGACCTAATCCTGCAGACCTCCCAAAATCAGAGAAACTCGTGACAAGGAGTACTTGTTCTCATTGACCTTTGCATTTCATAAACACTCAGGCAAGAACCAGAAAATATGGCGCAACCTGCAGAAATACCCAGAAAGGTTCACTAAATTTCAATAAAGATGGGTAAAAGCGAAATGGCCTGAGGTGAATATAGCCTTGCTTTTAAAAGAAGAGGCACGGATTAAGGGTAGAGCCCCTGAAGTCAAGAATATAGTAGCTCGATCACACAGCAGTCAAGAAGCTTCGAAGAGATGGGTATAGTAAGCAACACAATCACGTACCCATCTAAAAGCGTTTGTGCTTCAAATAAGCGGTGATACTTTTAGGGATTCACAACTCGCTTGCTACTGAAACAAGCTATCAACCCACGAAACCACGAGGATGTCAATAATGGTCAAGGCGTACTGGACATACAGCAGATAATTGAAAACAAAACATGCAATGGAAATTCCATCAAATCGTGGGGGAAGGTGGCCTATCACAAAGATTTGCATTTCTTAAATAAACCTCTTGTTACCTTAAGAAACTGGAAGTTAGTAATAGCACAGGGCTTGAAGTGATGCACTAGGGCTACTTAAGCAAGCAGAGCTGATCTATAATATAATATTTAGATGTGGCGCAAAAAGCCGAAGCGTACAGTGGAATAATTCGATAACTACCGCAATTTATGTATAACGCTCAATCTTCTATCCATATTATTCTACTTTGTGCACAGAATCGGCCGAACTCGATGTGTGCCCAACCCCTTGGGACATTCTTGCTAGGATCCTCTGCAAATTAGTTTCGTTTTGTGTTCAACTTTTCCGGAATAGTGACAGCAAATAGTGAACCTTTGTGCCAATACAACCTGAACGATTCTTATTAGAGTGCACAACACAGGCTACACTCGCTAATACGAACTTGGCAACAAATCTCGCTAAATGAGCGTTAGCGCCAATCCAACAGAGACAATTATTGGTATAGCGGTATCGTCTATCAAGAATTGTTGTCACGAATACTAGCGTGTGATAGTCAGAAAAAGTCTATGCTGTGCACTTCCATATCCTTATCGAAAAGTAGAACTCGCCTATTGAAGTATGGAGACAGTTCGGCCATCCAGTGGGCATTTACAAACAGTGACCTGCCTTCAACCACAAGCTCAAATTGTCTTAACGTCGAGGCTGTGACGAATTCGCACATATATCTGAAATTACATTCATATGAGCACTATGAATCAGCGAAACAGAATGCGAAGCACGCATCACAACGATCTCCAAGTTATAAAATTCACGGCGTATAAATCAAATGGGCTGGCTACTCATTGTTTTCTTCTCATAAGATATTTCACTTACGAAAAAGAACTGAATGGGAGTATCCCAGACAAAAAGACATATAGAAAGTTTCGCATCGCACAGAACAGAGCGGATCGAACAATGTGGAAGGCTGCCCGAGTTCATCATATCCATTAACTAACACCATGGCAACATGTAGCACTGCAAGATTCACATCTAGAGATGATCGCCAGATTCCATACCAACGACATCTACCAAAGCTTTCACGTGACTGTGAACGCTGCTCTCCTGTGGGTCGAAATAAGAAGTACAAGTGCGCTAAAGTACATTTTTCGCGTAGTCATATGGCTCAAGAAACCAAGAAATAAGGCTGTCATCGATTGTCACAGAGCTTCTTTTGCGCATAGCTGGATGTAACCTTTACTGTCAACATAAACGAAGTTTGTAATAGACCAGAAAGATTCCCCACGATTGTATCAGGAAAGCATGGAGTTCATAAGCAACATTAAAGCCTTCCTTCGAGATTTCATGTTGATAGCGACAGCGAAGAGTCGCGAAGGCTTCACGTAACATATAGTCTACGTCAGAAATCACGAAGCTATTATTCAGAGGTGTAAGAGAAGACCTTAGTGCAGAGTTTAAGACACCACTAGGGCGGTCTGGACATTTCTTTATGTCTATATATGTATGTCCACCACGTGCACGCTCCAGTCTAGTCATAGGCACGCCTAGGCGCACATGACTCATTGGGAGAGTCAAGATACTGTAGGCATGCTATTCTGCTTTCTCTGCCCATAGTGTTCCATCGGGGCAAGAGAAAGCAACTTCCATGTTTTCAGGTCTAGCCCCGCCTTCAGTGGACCCTATGCAACCATTTGGATTTTGGGGCAAGTTTTGAAGATGGTGTTTTTTGAAACCCCCAGTCATACATTACCTATTCAAATTTGCAGGCGAAATCCAGAGACAATCGAGGGCTGAGCCGATCAGAACCTATCGAAGTGTCGAGAGGTCTGAATGGCCGCAGGGAATGATCTAAAGAGGGCCAGGACTGTCTAAAGGATGATGTTCATCTAATGCCAGAGCACCAGGATGATTTCACAAGGTTGAGAGTTATTCTGACNATACTATTCTGCTTTCTCTGCCCACACTGATTATAGTGTTCCATCGGGGCAAGAGAAAGCAACTTCCATGTTTTCAGGTCTAGCCCCGCCTTCAGTGGTCCCTATGCAACCATTTGGATTTTGGGGCAAGTTTTTAAGATGGTGTTTTTTGAAACCCCCATTCATACATTACCTATTCAAATTCGCAGGCGAAATCCAGAGACAATCGAGGGCTGAGCCGATCAGAAACTATCGAAGTGTCGAGAGGTCTGAATGGCCGCTGGGAATGATCTAAAGAGGGCCAGGACTGTCTAAAGGATGATGTTCATCTAATGCCAGAGCACCAGGATGATTTCACAAGGTTGAGAGTTATTCTGACTGCTTAAATTCCGAACGTCCCCAAAACCAAAGATCAAGCAGATGTGAAAGGAGGGACTGTGCACTTTATTTTGCCTGAACTTCTCAGTTCGTTCTCAAAAACATCATGACAAAAAATGAGAAGAAATTAGTCGACAATGGTGACTACTCACTTATTCTTCACACAAAACATCGTACGTATTATATTTATAATGTCAAATAAAACAGATTAAACGAATGCTGGCTGAAAGGATCCAAAAATAACGGAACCGCCATCAGCTGCGATAGCGTTGACGCAGCTGATGTTGACGCCGTTATTTTTCAGTCCGCAGTAAAAGGGCAAAATTTGCACAATGGCTCAGTCAGGTGGTAATAAATGCTTAATGTAGGTAGGTTAGGTTTCCAACGATTTCACACCAGTGAACAACGATACTTTGAAAGATATCAGGAGTAACAACGAACATTCACCAGATTCGTACCGTAATGCTAGTCGTAAAGTACAGAGTTATCAAAGCAACGCTGTGCTGTGAACACGGTGGTTTGTCCGTGACCATCCTGCAGTAGTACGGGTCATTTTACGACTAGTAGCTATAAATCACCTGGTTGATAAGAAATTGGGCGTCAACCAAATCTTTGGTCTTGAGTAGGGTTCTATATTCGGTTTTAAAAAGTAAAACATGTGGGAAATTGGAATAAATCGATGGGCAGAGTAAACACACCTTTCTGTTGTTTTCCAGTACACCGAGAACGATCCATCACCTTATCAGGTCATGAAAGGTTCAACGAACAGAAATCGCCGAACGAAGATAAGAGTATCATAATCAACTGACCATCAGAACGGTACTTTTACAACCTTTAAGAGTCGTAATGGAGGGAAAGGAATGTCTATACGTCAATATTTATCTCCTCTACGTTTCAAACTATACTTTCCTCGCAATCTGTTGAATATGTGCTAGTAAAAATATGAGCGGAGAAAAGTTGGAAGTAACTATCATGCAAAAGTGGATACGAATGTNAAAAATTTGAAAAACACAGAGAAAATGAGGAAGTTTCCAAAACGCCCTTGAATAAAGTAAGGGAAAGGTTTACAACAACTTTTTGACATTGGTTTTAACGAACAAAAAGGAATGTACTCACTTCTAAAAAAATTCTTCACGAGTCGCATGAAAAGAAAATGGGAACAAGGAAAGCACGAATTTATATTCAACTTTTCGAAAAAATAAAGCCAATCGTAAGCAAAGTGAGCGCATAGGAGTAGTAATCAGACAGCAGCCAAAATTCCAAGTATAAACGCACTGAGCAACCGTAGAGTTGGAAATAGTCTTGCATTTTACAACAAAACAAAATTTGCAAAATTTTTGAAGAGAAAAAGGAATTTCCTGCTCTGCATAACTATTTTGGGTCAATAAAGGTGAGCGAATGACTTTCGATTTGGTTCTACTTTAAAAGTGAGAGCATGTCAGCAGCACAGTGTACCTACCGACTGAAACAGCCGAGTAAAAGTTGTTTGCCCGAGATGCGAAACGCGTTAAACAAATGGAACAACCTGTTCCCCAGTTACGTAACCCGTTATCGACATCGCGTTCTCCGCTTTCCCTTCACGAAATCTCGTTCAGGTATCAAACGGGGCTCATTTGTAAAGTTTATCGAAGTCGCTGATCGAAAAATTTCATCGACGACCTCCAAAATGT